GAAAATAACCAGCACTTGTTCAGATGCAGGGAACCCTCTCCCTTGTGCAGATCTGATTGCAGCACTCAAGTGCATGCTATGTGAACATTAAACTTTTTTCTACTCAAATATCTATTTAGTTAATAGAAGCCAGTTTCTGAGGCATCATCCTTTTTCCTCCCTTCTGAGGAAGGCATATCCACACAGACAGAACTATCTCCCAGACTTGACTAGAACCATCAAACAATATTTGGGTTTCATACCACAACATCTGTATTAATATTAGTCAGAAGACAGTCATTTAAATTTTAACCGCATAGGCTCAACTTTCTTATTAAAATAGTCATCAGTTCACATATCAGCCTGTACTGAACATTAAAAGTGATAAGTGCCAGATTTTAATGAAGTGACAAAGGTCTAAGCTGCTTCTTTACATGATTACTTAATGTGTCCTACATTGTCTACTACGTGATTTCGTCCACTGAATATATTACTTATAATTTAACAGGTCATTATGTCTTTAACGTAATTGTGGGAATAAAAGCACATAAAATGCAAGAATTTCAAAATAAATTTTATAGCTCACGTATACACACACACAAAAAAATTGCATTTAAGAATTATGATGGTGTAAATTAACATAAGCAGACATATGTGCCACAGGGAGCTGGTTCAATAGCATCTGGATTTGGCATGCAGAACTCCCAGTCCCACCAAATCCTCACCACTGTGACCACTGGGTGCACCATCCTCTGTATAAGCAGCAAGAATGGCTATAGAGACAGAACTCAATTATCAAAGCTCTGGCAATGACGTTTTCTGTTCACACTGCTGAAGGAAAGCTTCAGAGTCCATGCTCTACCAAATTAAAACCAGGCTCAAGATGCTGGCTACTCTTATGATGTGCTTCATGCACCGCCTCTCACATGTTCCCAAGTTAATCGTCCAGACACTGTGGACAGAGCATGAGCTCGCCGTGGGACTGACCATGCTCAAAGCATCTTTCCTTCTGGGAAGCTCAAGAGCTGACTAGGGCTAAGTAGTATTTCTATATCAGCCAAATGGAAGCTGAACTGCATGGACAGTATCTCGGATAACCTGGGACAACAATGTCAGGTTGATGACAAGGTGACAATTACCATACAGAAAGTATGGACACTATATGAAGATACGACTATGGACTGTGTGACACCCTATTTAAGATTCCCTAGCTCCCAGCACTGACCAGTCTGGAGTATCATCTATGCTGGGATGATGCACTTCAAATACAGAAAATGAAATAAGACAAATAAGATAGAAAGAAAGGCTGTGAGAATTATCAGAGATTGAACACAAGCTATGAGGAAAGACCAAACAGACTCCAATAGAGATGACAGCCTGAGAGGTAAAGCAGCATCCAAACATCTCAGAGGCTACTGCAGCGAGACTGGCAATAACCATGAATTAACAGGAAAAATAATGAGATGAAACAGCTGTAGGAAAAACTGGAAAAAGATGTTATAAAAAATCTTTATAAAGATCAGAATAAATTTCCTAGAGGCAACTGGAGAATCTCCATCGCTAAAATATAGGCAAAGCAGGTATACTGCAGGAATATCACAGCTAGATTTGATCATGCATTGGGAAAGAGGGTAGGGGATCTCCCAAAGCCTCTCCTGGTCTATTTTCTGTCTTCAGGGAGACAACCTACTATACTGCACTTCCAGCTTGTGCTTTACAGAGTTCCAGATGTAGTTAAAACTATGAGCAGGACTGGATTACAGTTTTATTCTGCATTGATTTTCCTGGGAAAGAGTGAGGTTATACAAAAGGCAAGATTCTCAGACTACATAATTCAATTTAACCTCACTACCTTGAAAATGCATTAATTCAATGAAATTGGGTAAATTACAACAGATGGGAATCTCACTCAAAATCTATGCCACTGATCATATTTCATCCTCTTCTTTCAACCAACAAGGAACATCAGTCGTAGGTCAAAGCCTTATCTTAGGTCAGACTCTTAATTTTCATCCACTTAAGCTTCCATCTTTAAACAGCAGAATTCAGAAACTTCTGTATGCCATCATGAAAATTCTCAGAACAAAAGGTCTCCATTTCTGTGGTCTCCAATACCAGGACACACGTTTCTCAATAACTCTGCCCATCCCATCACTTTCATTTTTGAAATATTTAATCACAATTGAGTGTTTGTTTTCCTCTGACACCTCCAGCTGAGACTCGGTGTAAGTTGGCTGGAAGAGGGAAAACAAAAAAACAAAAAACAAATGGATCTTGACATGTCAAAGATACTATGAACTCTGAAAGGCCATAATACAGTATCAAACATTGTTATATCATCTCTGACAAACTTCCCCAGTTTACCAGGATAGGAAGCATGGCTGGCTATGAAAAAAATGCATTTTTAACAAGTTTGTAATCATCACTTACTCCATGGCCCCACGCCAAAAAGAAAAAAAAAAAAGACAACCACGACCACAAAGAAGAAGATTTTGAAAATTCTGTCAAAGACCCATTAGAAGGAAAAGAATACATTGGTTCTTGGAAATTCCCACAGTGCTTCTAAATGCAGTACTCCTCAGAAAGATTTAAGTCATAAAATGTTTCTCATAAACTTACACCTATCAGCAAACATTCAAGGCCAAGCCACTGTTAACTCTGCGATGTATACCTGTGTTCATACAAGCTAGCACAGAGAAGCTACATCCTGAAAACAGAAGTGCAGAAAGTCATGCTGAAGAGACATGCAAGCTGGCTGGCCAGGCTTAGCTGAGCAGCCTGGGGCTCTGCCAGAGCTCACATCACAAACTGTCTGATCCTGTGCTGAACACATGGCCCTGGTGCCTCTGTACCACTCACCACTGCAGAGGACAAAGTGCTGCTTTCTAAGAGTTGCCCAGCCAAAAGAAAATTAAACATTAGCTGACATGTACACATTCAACACCAGCCTAACAAATTGAGCTCGCCTGCATCACAGCATCTGATGCTCAGAGTCAGGTTTGCTGGCACAGTCCTGGTCTCAATGGATTGGTCAGCAGAGATTGAGCCCAGCTGCTTTCAAAATGTCAGGTAAGTGTGATGTTCACATACAACATAAGCTGCTGCAATATAAACAAGTCTTAACACTACACGTCTCGTAAAAGCAGTGTTGGACCAGTTACATACTGTTTTATCTGATCAGATGTCAGCATCTGCTTTCAGGAGAGAACCGAAACATTTGTGTTCCTTCTCCATCCCCAGCCCCCACCCTGCGAAAAGTGAGGAAGAATACTGACTGTCAGATCTTTCTGTGGCATTTTGTACCAGAGCAGAAAGACAGATGTTTTAATTCCCCCTCCTACAATCTGGGCAGACAGTCTCTTTGCTAAGCTGCTCGCCCTTACCATTAAAATTGATTTGCACAACAGTAGATTGCAGCCAAAGCAAGTACGGCAGTCATTAAAGAGTAGGCTGCTCACACATGTTTCTGTACTCAGCCAAGTCAACTCCTGATGAATGGGTCATCTTTTGTCAAGCAACTGTAAGGAACTGGTAAAGAAATAATTTGCGGTTCAGGAACAATCATGCTGACAGGTAGGCCTTCTCTTGTCCTTTTGCTTTCTGGCCACAGTGTGCTCTGCTCACTGGTCTTCAACCAATCTCGTTGTAATAACAGAAAATAATGACAATGTCCTTGTCAGTCTCAAAATCTTATGCTGAGAAAATCTTGGAAAATTTTGAAAAAGTAAATGTGCAGATACTGATGGCATACATATTGAACTCTAACATAAGCAAAGGACAATAATTCAGAAAGGAATTATTGGGTCAGAAATGAAAACTTTACTATGTAACGTGGCAATGCTCAACACATTGCAGAGCGCTTCTTAAAATTCAAGATGCACCCCAAAATTACACCTCCTCTTATTGGTCCTCTCACTGCCCTCAGTGCCCTCTACTTAGCTCTGGTCTGCTCAACACATCAATGTCATTATTCTCTTGCAGTCGTGGAGGTCACTTTTTCAGCTTTCAAATATATACACACATATTTTTCTATGTGAGATCTCTAAAAGTTCTTGCATGGGGACACTACGTGTTACCTTAACACGGCAATCATTAAAAAAATCTAGTCTTTAGTCCTAGATATGGCTTCAGGCTCTAGAGAAGACAGCAAGAGAAATCATGCCACAAAGTCCTCAGAGCAAAGCAGCTCCAGGAAGCCTCAGCTAGGTCCAGGTTGCATTTTACTAAATAACAAATGAAGCTGTAAGGGAGAAATCTTGAGAACAGACAGGGAGTGGCTGCAGCAGATGAAATTTATATCAGAAACATTAGAAATGTGGTGCCAAATTCCTGTCTCCTTCCATAGTTTCCACAGCCAAAAGAACAAATGACACCCGTGGGAGAAATATGCTGTCAGGAGCTGCATGGAGGTTATGTAGCAGTCTATATTGAGCTCTCTTGTTGACTTTGCTATAATATCCCAGGCAGGGATAAGAAATGAGGAGCGAGGCTTTGTCTTCCTCTATGCTCAGTAGCTGCTGCTACAGCACCCTCATATCTGAAACCAGAGATAGCCCTTGAAATACATACTTACAGTATACTGCTGAAAGTTGTAAACAGTTGTAAACAGAAAACTTTACAGAGATTTCCAACTTAGACAAATGAGGAGGGATATACACAAAGAGATTGAAAGATAACAAAGAGCAAAGCAAATGTGAAGTTTTACTCCTCAACCTCACTGAACGCAAGGTCTCAACTCCAAAGGAATAATTCTGAAACACTGGCAGAACAATCTCCTGTCCTGAAAGATGAAGGAAAAGGCCGGTCCATTTTTAGATATGTTATCCAAAAAAAAAAGTTAGCCAAAAGTAACAGGTAGTTGTAGGAAGCAGTGTACTAAGTGGATGGAGCGTGGCATAACTGGAGGCTGAAAAGGGACAAATAAAAACTGACCAGGCACATCTAGCAATTAGCTGTCAAGTAAGTACCACTGTCGTCTGCCTTAAAATTAACCAAGCATCTGTAAACATGTACTGAGGTCTATTAAAACTTGCATTTGGCATCTCAAAACAACCATACTGATGTGCTGCTCATGACTACAGGGGTGAAAGCTGCAGGACGAGGCCACCAGACCTCACTTGAAATAGGTCCTAACTATGTCGATTGGTCTAGGTCCAGAAGGCTTCTATCTTCGTTGAATATAAACAGCTCTGAGAACATTTGTAACCCTCTGAGCCACGTTTCATTAGAATGAAATTATAAGAATTATTTGCCCCTTTTTACGTTCTAGTTTCAAGAAGTAAGCAACTTCATAAGCAATTCTTGTTTATGTAAAGATGTCTGTTGTCATACAGCTTTCTCCAGAGGTACAACTGATCAGGAGCAAATCACAGCACACAAACTCTCCGGTCTGGGTGTGTGTTTGCTTGTGGAAGAATGGGCTGTATGTACTGGCACATAAGGTCTTCATCTGTCTTGCCTACACTACATCAGTTCACTAAACAGATTTAATTTGCAATTTCCTCTTAGGCATTTACCTTTGGAATTTTGGTTTTGAAATGGGAATCTCTTGTATGCATACACATGTAAAATGACAGGTCTTTAATGATGCTAAGTCAGACAAATGCCCTTTCAGTGAACACAGTGTACAAAAAATGTCCTTGAATATCTTAGATACAAAATGCCAATAAATTGAATTTATGTCTCATTTAATCTGCAATGGAACAGTTAGTGCTTTAAAGGGTACATACGCTTCTCCTGGTCCCTTTCTTCCTGACAAACTTTCAGATGCTGAAAATCAATTCCTTTTGTCTCCTTGTTATTCATCTGCTACACATTAAGGAGAACTTTGAGCATTCAGTGATCCCACAATGTTCTTTCATCTCCAGAGAAGCCTGGTATGAATTAAAATCTTACGCTCCCACAAATTATGGATGCATACTGCAGCATGCCACTGGCTTATCTGCTCATGACTTCTGCCAGTTTTCTCAGCATGCTGCAGCTACCTCATCTGCATCTTTCAACTTAAGTGACTCTTCTACAGTGCTATCCATGCAGTCCAAGAAAAGTGCTTTGCCATGTCCCCACACAGTGGGTACTGCTATCTATTCTTTTTCCAACTGTAGCTTCACTACAGCCAAGAGCCTAGTACAAGAACAATAAATAGTTAACAAAAGTAACGTTCTTTCATTTGATGATTGTATAGGAGCAACATTTTACTGATGTAACTTCTGTCATGTCTATTTTTAAGGGCAGTTTGAGCTTAGGAAATTATTTATTGTCATCTGCAATAGACTGCAGATTCTGCAGCATTGGTAAAACACACCCTAGTCTTTTGCTCTCAGCTTCCTGGTATTGGTGCTGCTGTTTGTCCACTTCTCAACTCTCTATATCCTGCAGTCAAATTAACACAATCAAATTAAGGAAACACTTGTAAATCCACATTCACATGCTGTCCTAAAGGAACCATCATCTTTTGCAAACAGCTTCCACAGCCATTGCCCTCCCCTGACAAGCTTTTAACCACCTTGCTCTACAACCACCTTGCTCTAATCTCTTAAATTTCTATTTCTTTGCTTAAGTTAGATTTCAGTGTGAAACGTTTTCCACCAAACCATCTTGCTATCTACTCCATATCAGCACTTTGAAGAGCTTTAAAATAAAGGTAATGAAAAGCTAAATTAGAGGGGAAAGGTGCACTGTATCTAACACTAAATATCAGTTAAAAGGTGACACTGCAGCCCAAGTCCACTAGCTATTTTGAGCAGACATTACCAAGAAAATTTGGGGTTCAGCATCTGCCTGTAATACATGCTCAGAGCAAATGAGCAAATAATTAATAGCGGGAACTGAATCCTGATGCCACATGAATTGTCTGTGCCAGCTGGATTACAGCTAGCTCAAATTCATCTAAGTTTTGCAGCCACATGTCATCCTGATTCCTGCTCCAGGTTACTGTACAGATCTTATTTTCCACTGGCATCACAATGGTTTGCAATTCTTTGAACTCAAAGACATTAAAATACTTGAGAGAATGGAAGACAAAGACATGTTCTCTGCCTTTCCAAAGAGCAGCTGTTAGTAATTTTTCATCAGATGAGGCAAAGCAGGTTCAAGTCCTGACAAAAGCAACCTCCTTGCACGGGGCTGCTATCTGATGAAAGCATTTAGAGAGGTGGCCATCCAGCAAAGACCTTACTTACCTCGCTTGAATCCTCCTGCTGATTGATAACAGCTAGTGCATCCTCTGCAGCCTGGCGCTTGGCTTCGGCAACGGTGCGCTCCATCTTGGCTCTCTCAGAAGTGATCATGTCATGAGCTTTCCGCTCAGCCTCTGACACTGCCTTCTGCAACTCTGCCATTGCCTGACGTTTTACTTCATTGACAGCTTCCTCTGCAAACGAGGGAAGAAATCCTTGTCAACACAGGATGTTTGGTGCAGGGCTATGCAGGACTAAATCATGAGATGCAGCAGCTAGTCTGCTGCATTGTGTCTTCGTGTTGAGTAGGGTGAAGGTGAACCTGGTTCCTTGCAACTCTTCAAGACTACCCAGATGCTTTATACTTCTCCACTACCAAAGCTCTCACAAGCTACTCTAAAACTCATGTGGTTCTTGATAATTTTATTAACATTTAGTAAGGTACAGACTTTCCAGGTCACTAGGGCATTATTTCTGTAATCTTCTGGAACATTTTATTCAGAAAATTGAATCACAGAATCATAGAATGGCTTGGGTTGGAAGGAACCTCAAGGATCAAGTTCCACCCCCCCCTACCACAGGCAGAGCTGACCAGCCAATATTGCTTTTGCAGTACACCAGATCTAAGAATATGTTTGACAAGAATTATTACAAAAGAAATAATACGACATTTTCAGAATTGTATCACTTAGCTCTGAAAATTACTAGAGGATTAAATCATTAACGTTTTTTCTTTTTTCATTTACAGAATAAATACATGAAACACCCAGGAGTTTATTAAAAAAATTAAAATTCTTTGTTTAATATATTTTTCCTGGACATGTACTTTTAAAAGCCAAAATTAAAATTTGTTTAATAGCAATCTTTTGATCTACTGATCTCTTCTGCACACTTTTGCAGACCAACATTTGCACTGCAAAGACCATTTCCCGACGCTGCCGGGCCCTGAGTGCCCCAAAGCCAACACGACTCCAGCGCACAATTAACCCTGAGCAGGGACAGAATGCTTCATTACACCCAAAGCTTCATGTTTTTGTAAAATAACTAAGTCACCATGAGCTGTTTCTTCAGTATCTACTAGTGTCATATCTTTTATTCCAGAAAACATGCATTGTCACAAATTAATTATTTGGATTTTGATGAAGGAAGAGTGCAAAGATTTTACTAATGAACAGTCTTTTAATTGACAACTAAAACAAGTAATTTCTTTTTTTTTTTCTAATTAACTGCTCTAATTAACAAGGAAACCATCCTCCTCCTGAATTAGTTTATCTAATTTTCATCTTTATTCAAAGCAAAATGACAATGATTAATTGAAAATTTAATAAGCAGTAATTATTAACTTGGCAAACCTAGTACCAATTAACACTCTATTAAAACTAATTATGACATGTTTCATTCAAGTGTTTGCACTTAATTGTTTCATCCACTTAAAAACCACCTTAATTAAATGTTCTGTTTAATTAAAAACATAGATTTCTAATAAAAATGTTTTACCGTAGATTGAAATTTAAGTACTACAACTGCGTTATGGGTTTGAGTTGAGGGCTGTATCACATGTATTTGGGTGCTCACACATGTACATACACCTAGCTCTTACATACAGGCACTAAGTCAGTAGCTGTCCTGAGTTTTGATGCCTCATACCTCTCTGTATTTGTTATTTCAAAAAAGCTGTAACACAAAGTCTCCATTTTCAACAATAACACAAAGTACAACTGCAAAAGAGACTTATTTTCAATCCACACACCCGCTAAAGTTGCATTAATTAAAATGAAAGAAGCATTCTATTATTTGGTGCGTGTATGGCAGTGAGATATGTGTCAACTGATTTTTTGGGGTGGGGAGGGGGAGATTAAGAGATAAAACTTATGCCTTTATTTTTATGAGGCTGAAAATATGCCCTTATATTACCCTACCATAAATGTTGTTTAGGGGAAAGCCTCAGGAGAGGAAAAAATCATATCCTTCAACCCTACAGCTAAGGCTTAATTTACTTTGAATATTCAAGGTGAATTAAAATTCTATCTAAGTGGCAATACAGGACAATAATTTTTGCTTACGATCAAAGCTGTAGCTAGACTAATTGTCTATGCAAATCAGGCAATTTATATTTAAATTATGCATTCCTATTCTAGTCCCACAGGCACGCACAGATCAGCAAAGGGAATTGGTAGGACATTTGCAAGGTGCTTGAATATTTATTACCAACTGCAAACATTCACTGATTGTGAGAAAAGAAATATACACAGGCAAAAATACAGATGCAATTTTATTACCATTTTCATAAAAATGAGGCAACTTAAATACCGACGTTTTGCGTCTATGAACTGCAGTTATTAACAAAGCAAATTTCTTTGAGAGAATCTGTATTCTTGCTGGTATTTACTATGGAAGAGAAATTGGCTTTGTAAGGCATTCTGCACTTTCAATATATGATATAAGCTTAGTCTTACGCTGAGATGTTTGCAGTGCTTAGAAATGCTAGTTTGAACAACTGTTTTAAACTGGAAGCACAGTACCCCAACATTTTACAAAGACTTCTAATATTACAGTTTTAATCCTACCTAGCTACGTTTCTTCAGCCCAGATATAGAAATTGAACCTTGTATTTTCACTTCTTTTACAATGCTTTTGAGTGTATGGAGTATTTATGAAGCCATATCCCAAAGGAAAAGGAATTATACTTTATGCTACAGTACAAACTAGGGATTGGTATTTCCATTACTTTTGACAGCAGAATTCATGTAATGAAATACCTGAAAGTGAAAGCAAAGAGTTAAAGCCTCGTGCTTTTTGTTCACAGCATTTCAATATAAATAGACAAAATTTCCCATCATCCATTTTCTCACATCTCCTTAAAAGTTTCCACTACCTACAAATATTTCATAGGCACAGACACAGGCTTCACAGCTTCAGGTAAGGACAATAGTGAGACTGATCCTTGACAATAGTCAGAGAGAAGACCAAGAATGAAAGCTTCACAGAATACTGCCACTTTTCCAGAGAAAGGAAGAATGATTAGATTCTAACATCTGAAAACACAAATCAAAAATTTTTTAAATCAAACATCTAAGATGCATTTAAGTGCATTTTTCGTTTTCTAGGTTGTGCTAACAGTCTTGGTATAATTTCTCTAGGTATTTTCAGAATGCAACTGAAATCCTTCACTGTGAATAACAGTAACTTATGAAAGAAGCTCCAGGGAGCAGATAGCTTATGTTACTATAGATGTTATAACGTCTTATAACTATATAAGATGTTATATAACTATATAACTAACTCATAACTATAACATGTTATAGTTATGTATACTATGGATGGAATAGATGTCACTCAACATGATCAGAGGTCCTAGACGTTGACTCAGGAGAAGCACTCAACTCATCATTCACTGCTGCATGTAACTCTACATGACTCACCAGTCAGTTCCCAGTCACTTCTCTTGTATCATGGGCACACTAGAACTACATCATGAGAAAAGGGAAAGTGATGGACAGGGATGAGGTACTGTGTCAACCATGACATGTGCATCATCTCCTTCTCTGAGTGAGCAGAGTAAAGAAGGCCACTGGGAGTTGGTATCATGAGTTCTCTCCTTCATATCACAAAATGCATGATTTCTTTCTCAGAAATACCCTGAAAAATGTTCTTTATTGTCTTTGTATGAGAGAGTATGGTCACTCCATGCCTGTTTGCTAATTCCAGCACTTCCCTGTGGACTGTGACTAGCCGTAGGTCCTTATGTGTGATGGTGGATGGCTGGCCTCATCACACCGAAAGAAGCTAAAACAGCAACACACAAAGGTCTGGAAACACCTCAGTATCTGACAAAGAGAAACATTTCCAGAGGACAAATAATCTAATCTATGATCTGACTGATCCTCTTCACAACCCTGCCTTACTCTTGACTACTAAGGGCACTGAGAACTTGTCTTGAACTCTTCATCTGAATAACTATTATTCAATGACATTAATCAGGATGCTGACAATTTTCCACTGATGAAACTGAATTGGGTTCACATAGCTTTAATTTACAAGGTGTTAGATACTACATACTTGTTCCAACATCACAGAAGTACGAGCTTCACTTAGTATATTTAATGAATCAGTCTCTAAAAGTTTAAAGTGAATCCGTTTTTCACATGATTTGCTGGTTTTCGAGGGTTGCTTATTAACTGTTTTTATGCCAAATTCTTTCAATTCAGTGGACACAGCTTCCCAATCAGACATCTGCACTTAACTCAGCTGTCTACAGAGGTAGACAGAGAGTCAGAAGAGGTCAGACTTCTTTTATTCTTCAGTTCACAGACATACCTACTAAAGGGAATCTGACTGAAAGCCTCAACAGCATGAAAACGGTGTCCAGAAATAGGACCAAAGAAACTTCTAAAACTTTGTTTTAAAATAACTGATGATACAAATATTTACAAGATGACACATCACAGCTCCTTTAAAATACTGTCTCTGGATAAACTCAACATGAATGCACATCCAGTTTTACATGTCAGGCCAAAAGCTTCCATTAAACTTCTATTGCTAGCTTATGAAGAAATTTCTTCTACGGTATTGCAACTAGGAGTCAAAAATAACCTGAAACGCTAAGTAACATTAAAACCCAGTTATTTCAAGAAAACCAGATTTCTGAAATTCCAATGAATAATGCTTCTCCATGAGGATTCCTGCAACTGCATATTTTTTTCTTATTTTTCAGTTAAGATGTTAACATGAACTTGGCAAAACAAACTATGAAAAATATTCTGGGCCATAAAACAGCATTAAGTTACAAAGCTACATAATCCTTGGACAAAAGAAAAAGTTGTAAATACTTTGTTATTTTTCACAGAAACGGCAGTGTTTCCAAAAGTACTAATTAACATACTGACAAATGTTAACTGTTAGTGATGAATCTGCATTATATTAACAATGCAACCTCTTGTCTGATGCAACAATATGCCAGTAAAACACTCGCACATGTGTGTTCTGTATCATGTCTAAAATGCACCAAGCAATTAAAGGGTGTTTGATCAGAAAGCATTGGAATTACTTCATATTTGCCATTTAATCATTAACTGCTGCGCAGAAAGTTCCAGTACATGGTTATAGAGGTGTTCAGAAGATATCTTTGTCCCTGTGTGTGTATGTGTGTAAGCGTGAGAATAGATGCTCAACTACCCAGTTCTTGTTCAACTAACTCCTGGCCCCTCTGAAAACAAAGATTCTCTGATAGTGATGGTGAGAGAGTAAAGGTTTCTCTTTAGTAGCAGGATCTTTGCCAGGAGACTCCTCGGCTCAGGCAGAATTTCTGAGTGTTGAAGCAAATTCTGCACAGCCACATCTGCCCATGTTGCTTTCAACGTCAAGGAAGAGATGAATGTCCATATAACCACTGGGAGCAGTTATGGAGACAATCTTGCTTGATTCCTTGAATACCAAGCAGGAGTATGAGCCCAGGCTTCACTTAGGGCTAATGGTCACAAAATCTTACTAAAAGAACAGCTACAGTACAGCTCCTTTGGGAATATACTCTGTAGGGAATTCTTAGGTTAAAAAGGTAAGAACCCTAAAACTTGGGGGGGGGGGGGGGG